AGTTTTATCTCCATAACGTAACTGTTTCCAAACAGATTACATGCTGTCGTTAAAATGCAAAAAATAAATGATGGAAAGTCATTTAATATGACATGAGTGTCTGGTCACTTTCTGAAATCTATCACTATATTTCCTCACTGGAATTTTTTAAAGAAGACCTGTGCTATGCAAAAGCTTTCAACTAGCTATGTTATCATATTTATTCATTCATTCATTTATATCATAATTCTTTTCACTTATTAACATATGCATTTTTCATTTATACCTTTTTAAGTAACATTGTCCTGCATTTGAAACTTGGGAGCTTAGAAAATTCAGCTTTTACCTACCCCCATCTCTGTTCATTGCTCTGTACTTGTGATTATCAGCAAAAAAGTTAAAAAATGAAAGAGAAAATGCTCCTTTTTGCTATAGTGCAAAGCCCGTTTTGCAGTGGCATCAGTGTGTTCCTTTATTTAGTATTTTGATCAATGATGGGGTTGTCTTCTTTAAGTTCAGGTAAAACATGGACAATCCAGGCAGACCTCACCAAAATTGGCAGGGTGGATGGGACAGGACCTATGACCAGGCCAGAGGACAGAACTTCAGACCTGAGGGCGGACACCAAGGAAGGAACAACCAGAGTGAGTTCAGAGGCACTTCGAAAAGGGGGAGGCAGAACTTCCAGGGCTCGTCCCCCGGAGGTTTCCGAGGTGGGCACAGTCCATCACTGAGGGATGACTTAAGATGGGCTTCTAGTCCTGACACCAGTGGAGGAAGTCAAGCAAATCACAAAAAGGAACGCTTTGAGCCACAAAACTGGAGGACAAGACCTCTTTCAGAAAGTCCAAGAGAAGATACAGAAGCTACTGATGGGAACACTCACAAATCAGGTAGACCCTACTGTAGATTTATACTTTGGTGCCATTTAGCCAGAGTAGTAGGCTAAATGACTCTGTACAAAAAGCATAGGCTAATCTCAAGTAAATTTATTTCTCAAAGGAAAAAGAAGAAATCGAAACAGGAACACACCTTCTGAAAATAACGGTGAAGCTGTAAATGAAAGACCATCCACCAAAGCAGACCGCAGCATTCGGCAGGCAGAAAGACGTCTTCAACGGGATGGGATAAACCCTTTGAGAAAGGTATGAATGCTTTTGTGAAATGCTCATTTGAAAACTGTAAGTGCTGCGGACTTTGTGTTCAAAATATATGAATGAAGTAAAGGTTGTAAAAGTTGATTTCCCAATTCATTAATATTTTTTTTTTTTAAGTGTTGTGACGTGTATTTCTCTTTTGCTATTTTTTTTTCCTGGATTTTTTTTCAGCCTCCCAACAGCCATCCCAATGCAGTTTACACGTGTTCTTTATGTGACATTTATTTGGACTCTGTCGCAGATGCCTATAAGCATATTTTCAAGGACAGACGTCACAAGAAAAGATCTAAGGTACATATTGTGTATAATTTAAAAGCACAGAATTGCTGATAATTCCAATGTGCAACACTAATGGCTTCTATATTGTCTGTAGGAACGACAAGAGCAGGAATTGTTAACAGTAATTTCACCTCCCAGTGTAGAGCAGGTCAGTGCGATAAACGCTGCTCTAGAGGATGTGGTTCGTGAACATGGAATGACTGACAAAGATGTGGAGGCAAGACAGCAAGCTGTTTCTATCATGCAAGATCTTCTCCTTTGTGTTATGCCTGGTAAGTTGCATATGCATTGTGACTTTCACTAAACATGTTTACACTGTATATTTTCTTTTTAGGAATTACCTTGAGGCTGTATGGATCATCTTGCACTAAATTTGGTTTCAAAAAATCTGATGTCAACATTGACATTCAGTTTCCGCCAGAGGTACTGCTCAGTTGCATTGGACATTTTTGAGACATGACTTTTCAATCTAACCTTTTTTTCCACAGATGACTCAGCCAAATGTTTTGTCCTTGGTTAAAGAATGTCTTTCTGTTAGCCGTAAGTGTTTGTGTTTTCTTCTATTTTAATGTAAATTCATGTGATTTGGTTTTAAAGTATTTCAAAATGTCTTTACTCTCAGCACTCTATGATGATTTGGAGGCAGACTTTCATGCCAGGGTTCCTGTTGTTGTTTGCAAAGAGAAAAACAGGTAAGAAATGTACATCTAGGGACCAAGACCTTATTTTCTGGATTTTTATATATTTGTTATATTTTGTTGTATAATGCTTTATTTTTTTTTTTGTAAAAAATACAGAAAAAAATTTAAAGTATATATATATTTTTTTTACTTTCACAGTGGTCTCATCTGCAAAGTGAGTGCAGGAAATGAAAATGCTTTTCAGACTACCTCATACCTGTCGGCTCTCGTGCACCAGGAGCCCCTCCTCCTCCCCCTTGTTTTGGGCCTCCGACGCTGGGCCCAGGTAATCCATTGCTTCATGAAATGCCAAGTTATGCTGCTTTATTTGAGTTGATGTTATGTGTTGCGTTGCTTTGTTTGATTAGATTTGTCAGATTGACCGTCCAGAAGAGGGAGGACTTCCGTCTTATGCATTTGCCCTTATGGTTGTCTACTTTTTACAGCAGCGTAAACAGGCTCTCCTGCCGACTTACCTAAACCAAGAGGTAACCTTAACCTTATGTGGGGATGTTTGAAGTTTCTTCTTCTTTCTTTCTTCTGATACATACATTCAGATGTTGTGGTTTTACGTTTATTGAAGTGAAGTAAGAAAATATCAGAAATATCAGAAAATTTAACTATTCTTTACTGTGTGTGCTTTTAAACATTCTGCAGATTAAGGTGTTCTCACTTAGCAGGCTGAAAGACTTCAGTCTCACACATGTAGATGATGATGGGCATATACACTGGGTTTATTCTCCTTCCTCTTCTAAAGAATCTTTAGACAGATCCAGTCCAAATGGGAAGGTAAGAGTAAATGTAAAACATTTGGCTCATTGAACACAACACTTTATGCACATGTTTTCTCAACAGGTTCCTCTGGGGCTTCAGCACCCTCACCCTCCTGTGGAAGTTGGCCTTCTATGGGTGGAGATGCTTCGTTTCTATTCTCTGGAGTTTAAAATTGAGGATTATGTAATTAGTGTGCGTACTCGTGCAGTGCTCTCCAGAGAGATGAAAGACTGGCCAAAAAAACGTATTGCTGTAGAAGGTATAACGTTTATAGTCTCTTACTTTTAGATGTTGTCTGCTTGGTTATATAACAGAAAATATTATGATTTTTTTTTTTTTTTTTTTTTTTGAAATCTAGATCCATTTGCAGTAAAAAGGAATGTGGCCCGCTCAGTTAACAGCCAGCAAGTTCATGACTACATTATCCACTGCCTCAAGACTACATACAAGTACTTTGCACTTGCACCCAACACACCAACTTTGGGTCACAAGTTAAAACGCAATCGTGGTAAAGATGAGTTTGATCTGCCTGATGCAAATAAGATCATTATTGAGCCTCAATCCTTAAACCAATCAAAAAATGAAGAAACTGCTCCAGATGACTCTGATTGCATTATTGAAGAAGAGCTTGAAGACAGTGAATCTGAAAAAGACACTGAAAAAGCAGACCTGAGAAAAGGCAGTCTTTCTGAAGAGGAGGAAGAGGAGGGTGGAGAGCTTGAAGAGGTGGACACACAGCTTAGACGGCACATGGACAGTTTAACCACAGAAGATGAGGAGCTGTTTCCACTGGATGAAATCTCTGGGGAGGAGCTTTTATCAGAAGATGAGGGGCCTGATCTGTACACATCAGGTTTCATGGACAAAGTAGACAAAGTAGAAGAACCCCAAGAGGATTCTATAACATTGGATAAACCAGAAGGTGAAAAACATGGGAGTCTGTCCTACAGGTTCACTAAACAAGCTTTCACTAGAGGCAAAGTAAGGTTCTGAAGGATTTCTGTCAGGATTTTAAACTTGTAAATTATTAATTGTCTGTGGATCCTCCTTAGTCCCACATTGTTGTGTGTGCCTTGTGCAAACGTGACGGCCATCTCAAGAAAGACTGTCCTGAAGATTTCAAGAAGGTAGAACTTGACCCATTGCCCCCAATGACGCCAGACTTTCTGAGGGTACTTGACAAAGTTTGTGAGCAGTGCTACAGTAAGTATGCATTTATGTTGAAGATGAGGCTCAGTGGTGCTTTAATGTCTAATTTGTGTATATTTTTATTTTTATTTTTTCCTCCTCTACAGCTGACTTTGCTCCAGGTGAACTAGAGGAGAGAGTTAGAGATCACATTCTCCAGGATCTACAAACTTTTGTTAGGCGTCACTTTCCCGGTATTTGGCCAAATGTGCAAAAAAAAGGATTAAAAAAATGAAGTACAGTAAATATTTACTTGGTGTCTTGCAGACACAAAGTTACAACTGTTTGGATCGTCAAAAAATGGCTTCGGTTTTCGACAGAGTGACTTGGACATCTGCATGATGCTGGAGGGTCGGGACACTATAGAGGTTGTTGCTCTTTCTCTGTTGCAAATATGATGACATTGTGTTGCGCTTAAGACTAATTGACAATGTTCTGTCTTATTCTTTGTACAGGATGATGCCTGCATCAGTATAATTGAGAGCCTTGCAAAGCTGTTGAAGAAACACTCAGGTTGGGGTTCAATGGCTATTAAGCCTCATTTATACAAAGTTAGAAATTCTTTCCAAATTTCTGACACCTATCTGCTATCTAGGTCTTAAAAACATTCTACCCATCACTACTGCGAAGGTTCCCATAGTAAAGTTTTACCATGTTCAAACTGGTCTAGAGGGAGACATCAGTTTATACAACACACTGGTAGGATAGACAGGACAGCACGTGATTAATCCTACTCATTGAAATTATTGCATTTAGTTAATGTTTGTGCTTAAACCATTTTTCTTTGAAGGCCCTTCACAACACTCACTTGCTGGCATCATATGCAGCTATTGACACTAGAGTGAAGATTCTCTGTTATGTCATGAAGGTTTTTGCCAAAGTAAGTATTCTTAATTTAGAAGGTGACTCTGAAGGTCAAATCAAAATCTAACCCCCTTCTTACAGATGTGCGATATTGGCGATGCGTCACGCGGCAGCCTCTCTTCATATGCATACACCCTCATGGTGCTGTTCTATCTGCAACAGAGAAATCCACCTGTAATCCCTGTCCTGCAAGAGGTAATTTATCAAACAGTATACAGAATACTAATTTCTGCTAGTTTGGCCTGCTGAAAGATGTGGCAGCTGTTCTTTTGTTATAATTTGGACTGGTTCAAAAACCATCCCTGGTCAACTGGTTGGTTTAGCTCAGTTAAATGACTAAATGAGTGTTTGTTTTTATAGATGTATGATGGGAAGAAGCCAGAAAAACTTGTAGATGGGTGGAATGTGTACTTTTTTGACGATCTGGACGCATTGGTGAGTTAATGGATGTCACTGTTTTGACCATATGACTCATGACTCATTAAGGATAACAAATGCTCCTGTCTGCAGCCAAGTCGCTGGCCACACTATGGAAAGAACAGGGAGAGTGTGGGTGAGCTGTGGCTGGGTTTGCTTCAGTTCTACACAGAGGACTTTGATTTCAGAGAACATGTTGTCTGCATTCGACAGCATGCTCGCCTCACTACCTTCAATAAACAATGGACATCTAAATTAATTGCTATTGAAGGTCATTCATAGATTTAACATGACACTGGTCATTTGATCCTATAGATTCACTTATATTTGATATACATTAAACTCCCCTTTTTTTTTTGTAAACAGATCCATTTGACCTGAATCATAATTTGGGTGCTGGACTCTCTAGAAAAAGTGTGTATGAATTCCAACTATCACCTACACACACATCTATTGTATGCATTTCTATGCTGTCTTTTAACACTCACCAAATGTTAACAGTGATCAACTTCATCATGAAGGCTTTCATTAACAGCAGAAAAGTGTTTGGTACTCCTGTCTCGACCATTCCTGTTCAATACCCTTCTACAATGGTTGGTAATGAGACATTGGCAACATATAAATAGTATAAACATATACACCATTTTTTTTTACAAATGGTAAGCATACAACTTGTTCTAGGAATATTTTTTTGACCCTGACGTGCTCACAGAAGGTGAGGTGGCTCCTAATGATCGATGTTGCAGAATCTGTGGGAAGATTGGACACTTCATGAAAGACTGTCCAATGCGGAGGAAGTAAGTTATTGCATCTTTTGACATGGTTTTGTTTAATTTTCTACTTTCTATGGTCATTCCAAAATCATAACCTAATTTATTGTCAGGTCGCGTCACAGACAAGATTCTGAAAGAGGGGCTGATGCTCAGCGAGACGACACTCTGGATCAAGTGAAAAATCCGAGTGAGCAGTGGAGAAAAAGAGACCCTCTGGAACCTCGCTGCTGCTTCCTTTGTGGCTCTAACTCGCACATGAAAAAGGACTGTCATCTGTACAGAGGTCCTGCAGGTATTACTCATTTCATCTTTCTGAAAAGTTTATAATATAAAGTATGACATATTGGCAAAGATGGGCTTTCTCATTGGCTAGGGAATATGAGGCTGGACGCCTTTCAATCACCTTCTGGACATTTGGGAACACGGAGAGGAAGGGATAAACCTGTAGGTCATAATTCCAGTTATATATTATGTGTTTTTACAATTTAACACAAAATTGTTTTTTATTTCTCAGAGTAACCCAGTGAAAGAAGAGAATAAACGACTAATTTTAAGTCCCCATGCAGGTAAATTTTATTTAGTTTTGACCTCTTTCACTAATATATTATTGCTAGTAATTGTGTCCAAAGCTTATCAATTTTACTAGATAGAATTTAAACCTTTCTCTGAATTCTCTTAAGATCTTCAGTAAGAGCAATAACTTAAACTGTTGTTTGGGCTTTCAGGTAGTTTAGCCTGTCGAAATATGGGTCAGTTTGGTCCCAAGAAGAATCAGGAGTAATTAAGATGTAGCTCTCTGAGACTGTTGCTGCACATATCACTTGCTCCACCTTCAGGCTCAGAAGCCCTTTAAAAGCCAAAGCCAGGACTCCTTGACTTGAAGCCAAGTAGGGCCTTTTATTCGTGTTTTTTCCCCTAAAATACTCATCTAATGAGCTTTTTATTTTTATTTTTTATTTTTTTTAACAAGCCATTATAAATTCACCCAATGTACTTTTTAAATACACTGCCAGTTAATCCTTTATTTATTCCGTTTTATTTCTCAAATTTGTAACATATGATTAAGTGGCTTCTATATAAAGGATTTTCTGACAGGGTAATGGATTTTGTTCATCTTTGAGTGACGGGGTATTTTAGAAATGGCAAAACATTTGTTTACTTTATTTTACAATTGTTTTACTTCATTGGCACTGACCTCATCTGTCTAGTAGCTACTAGCTTTATAGACCTTCAGTGATGACTTTTATGTAGTTTTTAATTTAATTTTACCTTTTTTTTTTTTTTTTTTTTTTTTTTTTTTTAAAGTGCCATCAACTGTCTCCAAATGTGTTGTAGAAGAGTAATCTGGCTACTTAAGTAGTTACATGTTTGGGATGACCTAGTCTAGTGCAAGTTAATGTGTGTTTAAACTAGAGGAGATCTCAGTTAATGAAAAAAGTATTTATTATTAATGTTTCTGCTTTGTCACAGAATTATAGCTGCACTTTCAGGGTTCATGCTCTTGAATTTTGTTGCTGCTTGTGTCTGAAAGACCTGGTTGATTTTCTTAAAAAAAAATAAAAAAAAATAAAAAAAAAGAAAAAAAAAAGTCTTCTGGCTAAATGTCAAGATTTTATGCAAATGTTTTGATTTGATTTTAGAATTATTTTAAACCCTTTAATGTGATCATCTTAAAAGTTTTTTTTTTTTTTTCTTATTTCTGAGCAAAAGTTTAGTTTTGTGTTGAAATCAAATAAATGCAAATCACAAACCCATTTGAGTGTGTTACTTTTATATAATTTTATATTTAAATAATGTTTGGCTTGATGATGATTATAATAATAATATTATTATTTTGTTATTATTATTATTTTGTTATTTTATTTATTTTTTCTTGGTTTAGAGATATTTAACTTCAATATCTATGTCAATGCATGTTATATGGTACATGTACCGCTCAATATGTATGGTTGCATTGGCAGTCAATCATTATTTTGACCAATCGTTCGTCGGGGTGCTCACAGTAGGCGGGACCCTCTGTGTATCACGCGCTTGCGTAATAGATTGTTATGGTTTAGGAGTCAACATGTCCGCGTCCATGGTGCGAGCGACCGTCCGAGCGGTCAGCAAAAGAAAGATCCTGCCAACTAGAGCTGCTCTGACTCTGGTAAGACACAATGCATTAGACTTGTCTAAACATTGATCATGGGGAAATTATATTAGGCTAAGAAATGGACCTCCAGATATGTTTAGCTGAATGTACATTCCGAGGCTAGTTAGCTTGCTAATGTTACTTAACGCCCAATGTCGTGACAAAATAAAACTTCATTTCGCGTACCACATCTCTTGCAAATGCGCGTACGTTTTGGGGCCTGACCGTAGCTCTTATCGCGTTTACTGTGTGACATCTGTTAGGGGTGGATGACACTTATCCCTGTTTCGCCTTTTGCATCAGCGATGTTTACACGGCTTAGTGCTGCATATATATAGCTTAGTTCCAAAATACTACAACAGCACAGTCTATGGTTCTAATGAAGTCTAGTCCCAAAGCTAATCAACTTTGTGCACTTTGCGACGATGATGATGATTCTATGTTACACCGGAGAACATTTAAAACTTTCAAGTCATCCTGTTTGTGAGTACGTAAACATGCTTTAGGCCGTGTGGCATATTTTCTGTTGATAAAATGACTATGACATAATTTGTTAATACTTATTTTACTGTACAATAATATGACGTATTTTTCCCTTAGACTCCTGCAGCTGTGAACAAGATCAGGTTGTTGTTGCAGAACAAACCGGAATATGTAAGTAAAGGTTGTAAATTAATTAGTATATTCATATACTTATGAATATAACGGAATTAAAACACAATTTTGATTACCTATATGTAAGAATTATGTCATTGATTATTTCAGATTGGTTTAAAAGTGGGAGTGAGAACACGTGGTTGCAATGGTCTCACCTACACTCTTGAATACACCAAGGACAAGGAGAAATCTGACGAGGAGGTACTCCAGGACGGTAAGCTATTCATTATCAATCAAAAACAAATAAGATATGTCTAATTATCTTGGCTCTTTCTTGTAGGTGTTCGGGTTTTTATAGAAAAAAAGGCTCAGTTGACACTTCTGGGAACTGAGATGGATTTTGTGGAAACTAAGCTCTCTAGTGAATTTGTCTTCAACAATCCAAACATAAAGGGCACATGTGGCTGTGGAGAGAGCTTTAACATATGATCGCAGTCAGTATTTCCTGCCCAAGCCCTTTCCTTCCATGCTTGTCACATTTAAAGACTGCTGACTGCTGTGAGGAAATTTATAAGACTTGGATGTGCCTAAGTTTCTGCTACTGTTTCTCAGATGCAGCAATGTCAAGATTTTTTAACCACTCAGATGCAAACCTCTCTTTTTTTTTGACATTTTTTAAATTCCTGGATTTGCAAAATCTTCAATGGACCACAGCTGTCTCATACTAGGAGGCTATATTATATCCATTTACACATATACAAGTTATACAGACATTAAAAAATGGTGTCACAGAGGATTCAATACATTTTTATTAAAACTCACAGAAAAACATCAAACCTTTTGCCAACAGTATGCAGACATAGGTTTCTTGGATTTGCTTTACCAGTGTGTATAGTCTAGAAATGATATGAGTATTTATTTATCAATAGATGTAAATATTTAACGTTGAACCACACATTGAACGCACAAAATCACGCACAAAAACATGTAAGCCTCTTGCAGAGAACAGTTTTTTTTTTTTTGCTTTTCTCAACATTGCATTTGTATGGTATTTAATGTGTACTGGGGTTCACCAACTGTGCAATATGCCTGTATACATATAAATGAGCCTACTAATAAATAACAATGTTGGGTTATTTTTATTGTGTGTGAATTGTGTTCAAGTCACATTTAAACTATAATGTGATTTTATTTGAAATGGGACACTGATTAGTTTACAGCATGTCATTTGTGCTTTTTGCTCATCTGACTGGATAAAAAACATGTATTAACATTTTATTTAGTCCTATTGTCAAAGCATATTGTCAACTGAGCAGCTATACATGAATGGAGATCATAAGAGCAGAGAGTCTTTTGAACTGAAGGTAAATTTATGTGAAATAAGTCAAAGGTTTTCTAATAGTTGTAATTCAAACTGTTATTCCATGGATGTACTGTGATGTTACTGGTGTATGATGAAGAAATGTAACTGGTATTGCTACAAACCAACTACTTTCAAATATTTGCAGGTTTCAGTCTTGCTGAAAATTCTGGCTAAGAATGAGTCTCCAGTGGAGACTCTCCACTGCGTACCAAAAATACCTGCAAAAAGCATTCATACCTATTCTCAGCTAATTCTATGAACATACAATGTAGTTCATACCCAAAATTTACTGTAAGCTGCAGAGCAGTCCTCCCTGAGTGCTTTAGTGGGTTGGTAAATCAGTGTTTGGAGAGACCAGACCACTTGAGTGAAAGTCTGTGGACTCACTACCTCTAAGGCAGAAGGAACCCCACACAAATGCAGTCTTTCTTCAATACCAGAAATGTCCTGCCATGTCTAGGAGCAATGTGTCTGTAATTAGGGATCACACTAAAGAACATCAGACAGTACATGTTCTAGGTCTTGATGAAGTGATATGGAAACCACAAACATCACAGTTAGTCGGAAACACAGGTGAGCTCAGAAATGTGTTTTCAAGTAAGCAATGTATCCTATTTTATACTAAATAGGATGACTCATTTATACCATATGTTCTTTAGGACCAACCACTGACTGGTTTGTTGAGGACTTGGTTGACCTTCAGAGGAAACCTTATCTAGGTACTCCAAAGAAATGTAGAGCTTTGTGTTAGTGTCTATCACTGTAACCACATGGGCACTCTAAAACCAATCATTAGAGAATAAATAATCCACAATGCAATCAGGTCATAGAATGATTGATTCAGTGCCATATAACATTACACTACAGTCATATTAAAAGATTAAGTCTCTTATCTCATGTCAAAAAAGTTGAAAGCCCTGAAGACAACAACTTATGTGCATTTTACCCTACTCAGATAGAGCCAGACAGATCCAACAAAACATGTGACTGCAACCAATTTAAAACTAAGCCAAATATCCCGGAACTAATGCTGCGTTAAAATGAGGGTAGGGAAGTAGCTGCCACCCCCGTTTAAAATACCTTTATGGCCAAATACACCGTGTAAATATCCCAGATGTGCTTTGATGCGCTACATGTCTTTCAATAGATAAATAGAGAGTGCATGAACATCTTTGCAGATCGAGATTTGCTCATAGTGGGGCTTTCTAACAATACGTACCTGAACGCGTCACTTCGCACGCACCATTCACGCCCCCACGCCGAAGAGAGAGGAGGAGGTTACTCGAAAGAGAATCTGTCCACTGGCTCATACACTGCACGAGCACAAGCAGCATCACTTATCAAACCTTGGAAATATACGTAATTTTTATTTTTTTATCATGGAGCAGAAACCAACCATCAACTTCGGCGCTGGACCTGCAAAACTTCCTCAATCAGTACGTACGATGACTGTATGCTTTAGCTATCGCATCAGAACCATATGGGTTGAATATTAGCCATCCCTGTCCAGTTTGTGCATTAGAGAAAAAAAAACAATCAACCGTATTCTCATTTACTGTTGCAGCTGCGATGGTTGCAGTCTTGAGATTTGTAGAAATGCACGTTGCATGTTCATGTTTAGTGTGAAAAGGCGTCTGCTAATGGAACTTGATTTATTAGCCTTAGAGAGTGTAGTTTTGTGGCATGGGATTCGCATTATTTTGCACTATGTTGGTGATATTATTCATTTTATTTATGCATACGCAAACATATGTCACCAGGTTCAAATCACCATGGACTGTGATGCTGGCACAGCTCCAGGTGGTTGAAAAGACAGTGTTGAGTTGCATCAGCCTCATTCATTCAAGTGGGAATGTGTTCAATTACAAAAGCACCCACTAGATGGCAGAAAATGGCTTAGTTTGTAAAGAAATCACGTCAAAGAGTTAGCTAGGCTCAAATTAAAGTATTTGCATAGTTTGTTTGAGCTTGCATAATTTAATTTTTCCCAAACTATGGTTCTGGTATGATGCAATTTTAATGGTGGCACTCGGGGCCTTTTTTTAATATGTGAGACATTAGTTTAAAACTGCTAATAGCTGCTGGACAGTCAAATAAATGTCATTATTATTTCTTGTAGGTTCTGCTTCAAGCACAAAAGGAGCTACTGAGCTACAACAGCCAAGGAATTAGTGTTTTGGGTAAGTAATCTCTACATTTAGCATGTTTCTTCAAAACTCTTCTAGTTCTTCTGAGAACATTACAGACCCATACTGGTTCTGCTAGTATAGTTACGTAATAATGATCTTCTAAGTTCTCACATAATGCTACACTAAATCTCAGGTAATTTAAGAAATATAAACCGCTTTTTTTCATTGCAGAGATGAGTCACCGATCTGCAGACTTCAGCAAAATCATGAACAAAACAGAGAATCTGATGCGAGAACTGCTGTGAGTTATTATTTGCGGTAAACACACATTTTGGATAAATTACAGTTTTCTTTTATTTATTTCCACAATACTATTTGTCTTTACCTCCACAGAAATATCCCAGACAACTATAAAGTGATGTTTTTGCAGGGGGGTGGGTCGGGTCAGTTCAGCGCTGTGCCTCTTAATCTCATTGGCCTAAAAGAAGACAGATGTGCTGATTACCTTGTGACTGGCACATGGTCAGCTAAAGCTGCAAAAGAAGCAGAGAAGTATGGCAAAGTGAACATTGTCCACCCAAAGCTTGACAGCTACACAAGTGAGTACACCATTTTCTGCACATGAAGCTTCTGTGGGCTTTGGCATCCAGTTTGTGGGTTACATAAAACACAAAGGGGCCACCCCCCCGTAAAAAGACAGGCATTCAGAGCCTTCCACATGGGCGAGTCAGACTAGTGCTGTCAGAAGCTGTTCACTGTAGGGTTAGCGTAACTAGGTCACAGCCTGACAAAATGTTTATTCTTAATTATTTAGATCAATAAATGAATACTTAACACTTTCTAACTGAGCTTACATCATGTAAGTGTCATGCCAGTGATCATGGTAAAAAAGGTTTTCTCTTTCCAGACAACACACTGAATCAACATCAGCATCTAATTATATCAATTAAAATACCAAATGGATTGGAACATTTGAAAATGTTTGCCACATATTAGAAAAATGTTTGCCACAGCCTCCATAGACTAAATAACTTAATGTCAAGTATAAAAGCGATGATATAAAAAAAAATGGTACCCTCCATGTCCACAGAAATCCCAGACCCGAGCAGCTGGACTCTGAACCCTTCAGCGTCCTATGTTTATTACTGCTGCAATGAGACGGTGCACGGAGTGGAGTACAACTTCATCCCAGAAACAAATGGGGTCATTCTTGTGAGCGACATGTCCTCTAACTTCCTGTCCAGACCAGTGGACGTGTCAAAGGTCAGTTATGGAAGGAAATATCATGTTTGTTAAGCAAAAACACACAAACCCCAACAAGGTTATCAAGATTAAGTGGAGCTTTATTATTAAATACAAGTAAATTCATCAGTACATATTACACAATACATGCAATCTGAATCACAACAAGGATTGTTGGAGGGAATAATGGCGATTAAAAGTACAGATAAAATCGGTTCAGAATGTATTTTGATGATATTGTACATTTAAAAATTCACCTGCTTTATTGTTATTGTGTCTGTAGCATAAAGTAGATCCAATCTTATCATTTATTGTGATATTTCCCTGTAGTGACATATTGCCCTTCAAAATTTGTTATCATGCCAGGTCTACTTGTACACTCAATGTAATGTAAATATAAAGAGAGATTAGTTTAAAATACATCGCCCTTTTCAAATACTGTTCACTTTTTTAGTCGTGACTCACTGTCTGTTTGCTTCTGCAGTTTGGTTTGATCTTTGCCGGTGCTCAGAAAAATGTGGGCTGTGCTGGAGTGACTGTGGTAATCGTGAGAGAGGACTTGTTAGGCCATGCCCTAAAAGAGTGTCCGATTGTTCTGGATTATAAAGTGCAGGCAGAAAATAATTCCCTGTACAACACACCACCATGTTTCAGGTAACAGAAATCTCCTTGTTCTGTTGTATAAATATAATTCCACAAATAAGAAAAAAAAAAAAAAAGCCAAAAATATTATAGTTTGTGCTAAGGGTGGGTGATTATATATAGGGCACTGATTAGTCATAATGTGTATTGGTAAAGTTTAGCAATACATTTAGCACATTTCTAATTTAAATAGAAGATCACTGGGGCTACAGAAATTAGTTATGAATTTGATTACAAAACCAATTTGTGGATATTGAAACATTTATATTGATATTTGCCATATATTTATATATATGGCAAATATCAGTTATCCACAACACCAACAAGACACATATCAGATATTTGTATCGTCGGGAAAAAAAAATCCACATTGGCCTAATAAATATTGTACCAGTTTATGACATTTTAATTGCAGTGACCTTGGCTTAACTGTTGTTTCATGAAATATAATATTTTAGTGTGAATTTTTATAGAGCTTTCTTTTCATTCATTAGCATCTATATCATGTGCCTGGTTCTGGAGTGGATCAAAAACAATGGGGGCAGCATTGCCATGGAAAACCTCAACAACCAGAAGTCCTCCTTGATCTACGACATAATCAACAACTCAGATGGTTTCTATGTGTAGGTTGCCATGATTAAAGTGAAAAAACAAAACAAAAAGAGAACTAACTAAATAAGCTAAATGATCTTTATTAGGTGTCCCGTGGATCAGCCCTGCAGAAGCCGAATGAATATACCATTTCGCTTGAGGACAGAAGAAGGCGATGAGGCTTTGGAAAAGAAGTTTCTTGATGGAGCAGTAAAACGTGGAATGATCTCACTCAAAGGACACAGGTTGGACATGATTAGATCTGAATTGAATTTTAAGAACAAACTGAAAAAAATAAAATAAAATCTGATTTTCTATCCGGCAAGGAACATTGATGCATCTGAAATTAATGAAGAGTATAAAAATTACTTCTTTGATATGATGACTGTATAAGTCGTGTTTTTTTCTTATTTATCTCATTTTATAGGTCAGTTGGGGGAATCCGTGCGTCCCTGTACAACGCTGTCACTCTGGAGGACACTGAAGCGCTTGGCACTTACATGAAGGAGTTTCTGAAGGAGCACATGTAGATACAGTTTAAGACCTTAACTGTGAAACAGTGGCATTCTTGATGTACAATGGACAGAATCCTGCCCTTTATCTACAATATTAGGTCCATGTTGGGTCCGTCGAAGCTCCTTAAAGGTGTAGGTGATGTCCTAAATAAGTCTGTCTGTCATTTTCATACAAAGTCTTGAAAAATATTAATGTACATATTCAATTCCTAATGTGTAATTACATTCCAGTAAACATATGTTGACTAAATAATTGCTTGATGTGAGTTTATGTGACATTGTAACTGATTACATGTACTGAATATACATATTCTGAGTACTAATTTTAAGTAACTATATTATGGTACAGTTACTTTTTCATTTGATGGAATTCAGAATAGTTGTATTCCTTTGATTGAAATATATGGCAGTGAGAAACATAGAAAATAGAGTTATTGTAATGAGTGCATGTATATAATTTTTCCTTCCCCAGTTAATGTTTAAAACAAATATAAAGCTGTTTTTAATACTATGTTGCAGTATTCAGAATGCAGTATTCTGATTGAGCCACGTTTCGGAATATGTTACAAAATACATTTTAAAGTATACCAGGGGCATACCTGTGATACCAAACAAAGATGACCAAACTATCTGTCTCTCCACCACACTAATGCTACAGGTAGTCAGACTGATAATTATATGTCGATTATTATAAGTACACATGTATTACCAGCCAACAACCACTAGGTGGAAATGTAGATCACAAATTGGGATTCTTTGTCGTGCTCGTGCCTTGTAAATGTGTGTAGTTGCAGTAGCTAGCAATAACACTGCCAACTGAGACAGTATGGAAAAAAACAATGGAAAAGTGGTCTTCAGTGAAGCTATAGTAATAACATACTCGTGTATCTTGATATATAATGTTTTAATAGTTCAGTGTAATTCTCTGAAGTCATGCACATCTGATCATATAGAGTAAGAAAGAAAAGGCCTCAATAAGCAGCTTGTAACACAACTTCATTTTGAAATATAATAAAGGAATAGCAGGAAGGCCACAAGAAGGTACGCTGATCCAGAAGTTATTATTTTATACAACATCCCATGTGGATCTTCCCAAAAAAGTAATTTTGGCTGTTAGCAAATATCAATATGAAGAGTCGGAACAGCAGTGTTGACTGTACATCCCAGGGGCGGGAGCTGTTGGTCTGTGTGCTGAGTCTCCTCTGCCAGAGTCAGATCCTCTGAGCGACACAGAGAGAGAGAGAGGATGCACATCTCTTTAAATCAGGGATCACTTGGTAAAAGCTGCTGGCTGCACATGGTCAATTTCAATGGGGGTCCTTGCTGCTTTTATACTCTATCATGTGTATAACCTCTGACATGTGCTCTGTACCATGCATTTAGTCCAGTGAAAAGTGAACCTCTCCAGGCATAGGTATTGTGTGAAATCGTTCACTTTTGTGTCTGAGTGTGTTTTCTGTAAAAAGACAGGCAATGTTCACACTGGATGATTCCAATAAGTGGAACAATAAAAAAGCAGCCCTTTATTTGTGTGAAATATCTTAAAATATTCAGGATATGTAAGATATATAAAGTATTTTCGTACCATAAAACCAATTAACAATGTATGACTAAACATTTTAATGGTTAGGAATATGATGAAACTAGTGCAATCCATTCACTTCAGCCCTCATATTCAGTGGTTGTGTAGTCACAGCTGCCACGTCCAGATGTGGCTGCCATTCCCATGTACAAAAGCAAGTCAAGTGTCTTTCCCAGGGACAAAATGACAGAGCTGGATTTGAACTGCTCTACACCTGAGCTACTGTTGCAGAGAGCCAGTACCCTCAAGGTTTGTCATGGGCACACAAATGAAGTTATCACATAAAAATGGAGAATAGCAAGGCATGGCTTAGCAGAGTTACTACTAGTGATATAAATATAAATAAAATGTATTACTACTATTATATAGTACAACAGTACAGTACTGTGTGATTAAAACTATTAGTCTTATGATCATAACCGACCAACCTTTTGTCCATCAGGGTCATTTTGATTAATCAAACTAGTCTTCCTGTCACATGTTCTAATTAAGACAAAACTACACTGAAGCAGTCTTCCCCTTATTGCTGATGACGCTGTGTACAGTCCCCAAAGGCATAAAAGTGGTATGCACAGATCCGGAGAGGTGAAGGGGATTTCAAATGTGAGAGGGGTTTCAGACAAGATGGGAAGTTGCGTCTGGATTGTGTGGTGAATCTGGGGCTGCTGAGCCCAGTAATGTCGAGGTAATGCCACCAGAAGACAGCAGTAAGACGGCGATAATGAAAAACACCAGGGAAGACAATATCAAATGGCTCCTCTACATCCTACAGTGGAGATTAGGCGACACAAAAGTCGTGTGGCAGTGGCAGAGGAGGCAGAGGCAGGCTTTAGTGTGCCTGATTGAGTCTCCTGTCAAGAGCTCCATGCAGCAGCACAGTCACAGTGACTGACATCTCTTATACAGGCTATTTCACACATGCACTTTGCATTAGCTCACACTGTTCCTATAGATACAAAATGCTGTCCTCTCAAAAAGGAGGAACTGCTGAACTGTGATTTCATAAGTTAAGATCCTCCAGGAACAAGACTAATCTGGTTTCAATGAAAGTAGACTAAAGTTTACCCCAATGCTAGGCCCTATACCCCCAATTCCAGTACATTTTGTCTCGTCTACTGACCATCTATGGGTCAGTAGGCTCCATAAGGATACCCACTGTACAAAGCTATAAAATCTAATTTAAAAAATACATAAATAGATCATCACTCTATTCATACTAATGTGGTATATTATTGTATTAGTTAATATAGTACTGGCCATTAATATGATAGTAAATCTTCTTTTGCATGAATGGTAATGCAAAGTTTTTCCCAGTGGACATACAAGTTGTAAGCCTAAACGAGTAACATCAGCCAATAGGCTACAGACAGAGTTTGATTTTAATTACTGTCCTGATAAAATAGCTTTTCTGCATACTATAACGACATCATAACTGCATTATCTGGTTAAAAAGTGTTTGAACCCTTGCTTAAGCGTACAGATTAGGCCTTAATGCAATTCACTGTTGCCTATTACTTAATAGACTATAAGTGTAACATTAATCTAAAAGGAGGACTGTGGAGGCCTTCAGTACATCAAGGACAGAGGCAGTGTATCTTCATCTTCAATAGATGAGAACTTTGTGTAACTTAGAAGAGAATTTACTTTGAAGCTTGCCCACCCCGCCCTTACAAAAGCTATTGAAGTAGCCTTTAAGACCTAGATCTTTCCTCTTATTCCGTTTTTATGTGCACACAAGACTTATATTCACACCATCTCTCCATGCCCAACACCTCTCCCATTCAATAAAACCCTCCTCTCATCTGTGCCTGTTCTTAGATAGCTACTGTGTGTGTGTCTCAGTGATAAACCCATTGCTCCATGAGGCTAATCTTGTTAGCACCTAATGCACCGTGTTCTGCTAGCTGCTCTTAATTGCTGTTGTGTTATTAATGAGTGGGGAGCGGGGAAATCACTCTTAATTAGCTTGTCTCGTTCAGCTCGGCGGCAGCAGCCATCTCGAGTGAAGCAGCGCTCAGGCACAAACACGCCGGGGATAATTAAAGCACTTCACATGTCGGAGTATTTATCTAAACCAGAGCGCTACAAGCCGTTCCCGCAATTAGCCTTGTCATTCATTAGCAGCCGAGTGCCATTGATTTAAGTGTTACATTGTCATTTTGCCATTGCTCACTTATTCAATCAGCTTCAGCGAGGTGGAGAAAGCATCTGATGTATGCCCATAGGCCTATCTACAGTTCTGCATATAGGGAAGAAGTCAGTTCACATCTCATTGGTTAATCAACACTAACTAGGCATAATTTAGATAAGATCACTGAAATCAATCATCTAGCATAGACTGTAACACCATGAAACATACAGCTATATACTAGGCTATTTTCAGACTGACTATAGTGCATAATGTTATATGTCTTCAAACCTTTGATGCCATGACCAGTGTACGCTGTAGCCCTCTTAAAGCCTGAGGCACATAGTTAGTGGAAAAGCTCCATCCTCAACCACAGGCCTATGGAAACAAACTGAAGAGACAGTTAATTAGTGATAGAGTAATAGTGTGTTCCAGCAGCGATCTGTGGCAAAGTTAACAATGACAAGCTATTCTGTTAAGGAGTCACATGCTGCAGTGGGTACCAAATAATTTGGCTAGTAAACAATAATTGTGCAAGTAAACAGCTCAGTGTGTAAAGACAAGTAAAACAAGGCAAACAAGGCAAAATTCCTATTCTTTTTTTTTTTTGAGGGGGGGTCAGGATGTTAAGAGCATTTACACAAGATACATGCACTTTAAAGGTTCTGAGTTTCACATTTTTACTGACCCCTTGTGGTGAGACAAAGCTATAGTTTACAAATGCCCTCACTTTTTTATTTACAGTACTAATGGTTCTGATTATTACATTTATTAAGATATAAATGTTCTGTCTTTAGCTTTAAGCCATGCTATTGTTACCTCACCAAACACATACCCGTACCTTGTGTTTTGTTTCATTCACACATGTTTGCACAATATAGGCCCTTCAAGAGTCACATTTCATCCATTACATACAATAACGCCTTGTGCATTGATATTTATATGAAAAATTAAGGGTGAACCTAATATATTTTGCCATGTTCTTGCCTATGTTCCATCTAATTACTCCCTGTGTGTTACTATACTGAAGCCTACCACTTCCAGTAGAATATGTGCTCAGATTTGTGAAATTATTATAGGTGTTCTGAGTGATTTCCTACTTGTCAAAGCACAGAGTGGATTTGAACTTTGCAGGTTTCATAATGAGATGATCCTTTCGCAGCAGGAGGTCTGAAATGAGTTTTGCATGTTGAGTGTGAGCGCGCACCTGCCTTTGTCTCCGCGTGGCCCTGACATGTTCTCTGTGACAGCCCACAGCGCATTAAGGTAAATTTAATTTGCACCTTAGCCTAAGTGTGATAAGGGATGCAGCTCTTGTGGGGCAGGACTAATTGCTGCTGAGGGATCTGTGTTTGTGTGTGTGTGTGTGAGCAAGAGAGAAAAAAAGAGGGAAAGAGAGAGAGAAAGGGAGTGGGGGCCTGACGAGCGAAAGAAAGAGAGGCAGAGAGAGGGTGAAAGAGAGAGCGCAAGAGAGAGAGAAATAGAGAGAAAGAGAGGGAGAGACAGACAGAGAGGGAGAGAAAGAGAGAGAGAGAGCATTTGC